AGCACCAGGGCCCTTGGCACCCTGTGACTGCCCGCAGGCCAGAGGGTGCCCCGCAGATGCTGCTGCCGCTGAACCCACACACTGAGGAAAGCAGCGGAGGCAGAATGGGCTGGGATAGAGCTGGGGGAGCCGGGAGAGTGCTGGCCTCTGTGGAGAGGAAAGGGGGTCCTGATGACAGGCCTGGCTCAGCTGGAGAGAATGACAAAGCTCTGCGGGGAGGCAGGCCTCAAGGGAGGCTCAGGACCTGGGGCTGGGGGCTGCAGACGGGCCCTGGGAGGAACAGGCACTGCCACCTTGCTGTGTGCACGAGACATTCATTTCAGTCCCTCTGAGTGGCTTCGGGCTGGAGACTCGTGGTGCTTCTCGGACGTCCCCTCACTGTGCGCTCCGTTTGGCTCCAGCTTCTTAGTCATTTCGTGCACTGAGTTCAAGAGCATTCATCCTATTTCAGACTTGCCTCCCACACCTGACTCTCCGCTGGGTTCTGCTGGATTACCTGAGGGCTGGACTGGGCTGCACTGGGGTGGGCAGGACCCTGCAGCCCCTCACCAGGGCAGAGAATCGCGAAAAGCTTTCCTAGCCAGGCGGGCAGCACTGCATCAATGCAGGTCCTGAGGGCCGTTCTGCCCTGAGGAGATGACCAGACACACTCGCCGTCTTCCAGGAGTGCACAGCGGAGCCGGGAAGACAGATGGAGATGCAAGGAACCTGGCCACAGCGGTGAGAGGAGATGACCTGGGAGGCCCCCGCACAGGGAGGTCTGGTCCAAGGTCAAAGAAGCTTTACTTGAGCAACAGGTTTGAGGTCTGGGGAGAGGAGCTTTATCCAGATTTGAAGCGCGAACCCAGTTTATTTGTAATTTGTCTAGAGATGCTCTGTTGTGTTGTTTTGTTTAACAATTCTGGAAGGTCTCTTCTCTTTCAAATAATTCTCTGGCTCAAAAGAAAATCTCTCAAGAGGAGAAGTACAGCTGTTCCAGCAAGAACAGCGTGGGCCCTTGGTCTCCAGGTGGGGCAGTGGAGCCAGCGAAGGGAGTTTTCATCTGACCCTGAATGCCAGCATTGGGGGAGGACAAGGCAGTGTGAGGCCCGCATGGGAGACTGCCGAGCCAGGAGCGACCTCAGAAGTTACGGGCACGGAGCGGAGGATCAGGCCAAGCTGGAGCCCAGGGCTTCGGGTTACCAGAGAGGTCCATGTTGTCCCTGTGTCACTGGAGGCACAACTCTGGGTGTCTCCTCTCTTGCCTGAACTGGGGTTCTGGGCCCCTAATTCATTAATCCCCAGCATGTCTGCCTGCTAGAAAGGGGTCTCTGTGGGAGGTGCTGACAGGGAGGGGCAGGGGCAGTTGTTCAGAACAGCGTGTCCAGCTCCTTGTAGGAACAGGACCCGTGAGGCTGCCAAAAAGGGGCCAGGGCCTCCAGGCAACTGCTCCCTTCAAACTTGGCTCCTGTCCAGCCCTGTCCTCAAAACCAGGGAAGGCAGCCCTGACAGATGGCAGCGATACTGAGCTGTCAGCCTTCCCAGCAGGACCAAGCATCCTGTGGGTTTAGAGAACAAGGCTGGCCCCTGCTTTGCCCCCAGGGCTGACCACTGACCACCGCTCCCTGGGTACTTCCAAGACAGCTTCCCCACTCTGGGCTTCAGTCTTTGCCTTAAGATTGGAGACTGAGCTAACCGAAGGCTCTGTCAGTGCCTGGAGCAAACATGTGGGCAAGAACATGAACACCCTGGCCGGTTCCAAATCCCAACATTCTAGTGGCTCCAAAAGACAACCGTGCCCAAACTGTGTTCTGGGGAACTTTCTTGATGTTCCATGAGAGATTGGTCCCTGAAATAAAGGGTAAGCATTCTCCATCAACACAGATGTGGTCTATCCACATAATGGAGCATTGTTCAGCCACGAAAAGCAATGAAACTCTGACACATGCCAACACGAGGATGGACGTTGAAAACATTACGCATAGTGAATGAAATAAGTCAACAGAGAAGGACAAATATTGTGTGATTCCACTTATATGAAGTACATAGAATAAGCAAGTTCGTAGAGACAGGAAGTAGAATAGAGTTTATCAGGGTGGGGGAGGGGAGGAGGTAGAGTTATTGTTTATCAGGTGCAGAGTTTTTGTTGGCAATGATGAAAACATTTGGGATACGGATAATGGTAATGGTTGCACACATTATGAATGTATTTAATGCCACTGAACCGTCCACTTAATGGTTAAAATGCTCAATATTATGCTATGTGTATTTTACCATAATAAATTTCTTTTTAAAGGATAAGTGTTCATATAAGTTTGAGAGGCACTGAGTTCAAAAAGTTAAATGAGTGTTTCTACTGCAGGACTTTTCAGTGCCTTTAGGAAAAGGATATATTACCTTGTGGTCCTCAATGGACAGGATCATTGAATCAGTGGTTCTTACATAGCCTAATGTTATTCATCTTAGGGCTGCTCCCCAGATTACAGTATTTGGCTTTCCAGGCTGTCTCTCACACCAGGACCTGTGCAGAAAAAGCACTTAAATCTTCCTCAAACCTCTTGTCCTGATTTTTATTTAGGAAATGAAGGTCAGTGTAGCCATCTCAAAGCATACCAAAAATAAATAAATAAATAAATAAAAACGTGCTGTTTTTGTTCTATTTTCTCCTCCAAAAATGGAGATTCCTTTCCTGGGATTTGGAAACATTTTTGAGTTGCTTATTAAAAAAAGAAATAAAATGTGTGTGTGTGTGTGTGTGTGTGTGCGTGTGTGTGTGCGTGGTGTGCATGTGTGTGTCTGCCAGAGGGGAATTCTCTAGAAACTTCTGGTTGTGGTGCTGGGAATGAAATCCCAGATGATGAAAGCTTGTTGCCTGTGAACCAGATGGCTTTGGAGGTGGTTGGGGGCACGGGCTTGGCTCTGCTCGTTTCTTGGAGAGAGGGCAGCCTCTGTCCTGGCCTTGCTCCCCACTGCGTGGCCCATCTGCTGCCTTTGGACAAGACTTGGTGACAGGAGAGGCCCAGGAGAGGCTGGCTGGTCCAGGGCGGTGCATCTTTTCTCCCAGAGGTGAGACCCTGGATACTTGCTCAGCCGGGGCGGGTGAGTGCCCTCACCAGCTGCTGTATTTGTTCATGGTCTATCCATTAGCCACCATATTGGTGGTGATGGGCATGGAGGGGGCAGGGAGGATGTTAGAATGAAGAAAAAAGACAAGATTTAAGTGCCAGCTGTGGGACAAGCTTGGGTGAGTCACAGCCCAGAAATGTAGCACCAGGGAGTGAAGCCAGAGGGGAAAAAAACTTATAACTGCCAGAAACATGATGAACCTGTCAAAAATACATGAAATTAGCTGCATACGTTAGGAAGCAAAAGGCAAGGTCCTGTTAGTTTTTTTATGAGTGTAAGCATTTTAAAAAATTTATCAGGAAAGAAAAAAAATCATTCCTCTCCACACTACTGCCTTGGGTGAGGGATGTTTTGGAGAAATCGAGGAAAGGTGTCTATGTTCCCTTGAGGGCCTCAAGGTAGAGAGAAGGAAGCAGCCACAGGAGCCACTGAGTGAGAGATGAATTCAGCGGGCCCCAAAGATCAAAGCCAGGGATGTAAGTCCCCCGATAATCCTCAGAGACACGGGCAATGCCGGGCTGGCTTCCCACTGAACATGGCACATGAGTGGAGATGTTTTTATTTATATGGGAAAAGGAAAGATGAGCCCCGAGGGCAGGAGGGTAGCAACGTAGGTCATTGCTGTCGGGTTAAGTAGGGCCTCTCTTGTCTGCCCAGGTTCTGGGATTGAAAGAACTAGAGTTCCCTGGGGACCCAGGCGCCAGGTGGGATACAACGCTGGGGAACATTAGGACAAAAAGGAACTGTTTCCATTGCAGCAAACATTAAGTTCAGAAAGAATCCTATTTCATGGAGAGCCAGAGAGAAGGAAACAGGGTCAGGACTGAGAGAGAGGGGCTGCTAATGATACCTTGGGATGGGACTGGGCCACCACCCTCAGATGGCCAAGCTGGGGGCATGCCCAGACACGGTGGTGAGAGGGAGATGTTGTAGATCTGGAGGGCACAGAAGACCATCGTGATAAGCAGCTAAGAGCCTGAGCTGGCCAGGCACGGTGGCTCACGCCTGTAATTCCAGCACTTGATGAGGCGGAGGCGGGCTGATCAACATGGTGAAACTCCATCTCTACTAAAAATACAAAAAATAAAAAAAATAATAGCTGGGAGTGGTGGTGCATGCCTGTAATCCCAGCTACTTGGGAGGCTGAAGCAGGAGAATCTCTTGAACCCGGGAGACGGAGATGGTGGTGAGCTGAGATCACACCACTGTACTCCAGCCTGGGCAACAAGAGCCTGGGCTGTAGTTAGGAGGCAATGGGCCCAAGGAGGAACTTTGGAAATAAACCTGTATCAGCCATGGCAGAGGCAGGGTCGGAAGGGACGGGCCATGACAGGGAAGCCAGTAAGGAGGCAGCCACATAGTCTGTGAGCAGGAGCAAAGGTGAACTCTTGCCAAAACCTCAAACACGCCATGCTGGGGTGGCCTGAGGAGGCTGGCCCGCTCCAGGGAGGCCACAGGACCAGGGCGGCAGAGAGAGCTCATCTCTCCGATTGATTAGTAGTAACTGCTTGGAACATTGTCTGGAGCAGAGTTCAGGCAGTGTGGGAATCCCTGGAGAAAAAAGCCACTGTTGATTAGTGATGTCTGAGGTGGGGCTGTAAGGAGGCTTGGTGGCCTTCGTTCATTCATCCACACATTCAGCAACTGTTCATTCAGTGCCCGTGTGCCAGCATGTCTGCTATGATGCTGTCCTCTTAGCTCAGTTCACAAAGGCTTGGCCACATAAAGAGGAAAAAGGTCCAAGGCCAGGCTTCTCTCAGCTCTAAGCCCCTCTCCCTTCAAGCCTCTCTGAAGCCTTATAGAAGACCACCTGGTCTGGGTCCTGTTTCCTCCCAGTCTTGAACAAATTAGATGCTTGGGAGTTATTTGTGGAAGGAAGAAAACAAAAATGAGTTAATTACCACATTTTCCATGTTTTATTCATTCATTCAACAAAGAAACCAATATAAACACTTTGCAAGGCCCTTTCAAGGATTGGGGGTTGAAATAGATCCAAACTTTGCTCTCCAGGAATTCATAGTACCATCTGATATTAGACACGTGCCCACAGTTCTGTAAAATGCTGTCACTGTTTGTCAATCTAAGTTACTCAGGGTGCCTGGCTTCAGGGAGGCAGGCATAGTTTGTCTGGGGTCCAGGTCACCCAAAGGGAGGCACTTGTGAGGGCAAAAATCCCAGGGGTAAAGGTGAAGCCAGCCCCTCCCCACAAAGCAGGGACCCTCTGCCCCACTATCTTCCTGGAACCAGGAAACAGAAAGCAGCTGTGAAGGTGGGGGACAGCAAGAGGGCAAGACAAGAGCAATGGTACAGATACACTCAAAGGGTGTCCTTGGAGATGTCTGAGTCTTGATGTTTTCCTAGGCTGCTGGCAACGACCAGTTTGTGTCTCAGGAAGCAGCATAGGAAGGATGCAAATGTAGCCCCAACACCACCCCACTAGCCGGCTTCCCATGGCTGACCACAGTGTGGTCCCTATCTTACCCTAATTAGCTGTCCCTGTGCCTCTGTCCAGGCTCGCCAGCAAGCTCTTGAGCAGAGAGGGGCTCTGCTTCTACCTGCAGTTTCCAACACAGTCCCCACACATGGCAATGCTACCCAGTGTCTGGCCCCTGGGACCTGCCTACTCATGCCTCCACTCGCGGTGAGGAAGGGGAGTTTGGTGGAGGTCGAGAAATCCAGAATAAAAGAGGATGGCACAGGGCCATGAAGGGTGTGGCCATGGAGACAGGAAGGAGTGTAGCGTGGAGAGGCGGACACTTGCTCAGAACCTCATCTCCAGAACTTAACCCTCTTTTCTGGGACAGCCTCAGGCAAGACACAGGAAGCAGCACACAACCTGAAGGCAGAGTCTTTGGAGAGTCTTGCAAAGCTTGGTCTGTGAGCTGAGATCTCCAACTCCCAGAGCCGTTCTTTCTGGTTTTGTCCTGCAGAGAGCAGGAGCCTGGCACACACACACATGAAGATGCGTGTGCACACGTGGGGCTTCATGCAGACTCACCCAGGACGATCTTGTGGGCCCCTGGAAAGGGTCCCCTCATCCCTTTATGGCCTGTGCCTGGTGACCCAGAGCAGACAACAGGGCAAGGAGAGTGTGCTACAAACAGATTCGCAGGTGACTCTGACCACAAACCCAAGACCAGACTGCAAAGGGCTTTCACAGGGCCCCGTGAGGGCAGCTCCTCACCATTTATATTTTGCTGAGGGTCTTCTTGCATGGCTGTTGCATAAAACTGTTTATGACTGCCAGTGGAGTCTGAATCTATCTGAAATAGAATTCCATTTTCTGGAAATGTACACGAGTATATGTGTGGGTGTGCATGTGCACAGGAGAGGGAGTGTGCATGTGTGTGCAAACACAGGTTGCTGTGCTGGAGAGGAGGCTAGGAAAGGAGAGGAGAGCATGGACTTTCAGTCATCCACACATATACATATGTGTACACACACGCGTCCATCCACAGCCTGTCTCCCAAATCGGTGCTCTAAGTCACTTTCTTGCTGTAGACCAGAGCCCACTTAGACTAACGGCTTCAACCTTGCCTGCACATTAAGATCACCTGAGGAGCTCGTAAAAGACCAGGCCACACCCCAGACCAATACATCAGAATTTCTGAAGATGAAATTTGGGCCATCAATACAAATATTTAATAATCTCCTCGGGTGATTCCAACGTCCTGCCAGGGCTGATGCTCCTCTGCGTAGAAAGCCCTTCTATTCCCCTTCTCGGAAAGCTTCTATTCACCTTATTTAAGACCCAAGTCCCATGGCTATTTTCCAGGAAAATCCTTCCTGAGAGCCTCCCTGGGAGTTAGTTCTTTCTTTCCTGAAACTCCTGACAATACCTTAGCCGTCCAACAGCAATCATAATTATTTGCTTGTCTACCTGTCTGTCCCACCCCCCTACCCCCCTACAGAACCTGGAGCTCCATGATGGCACGCCTATCTTCGTGTCTGACAGACAGCTGGCCATCAGTGATGCTTCAGAATGAAAGGAATGTAATGAAGACCATATGCAGGAGGGAGATGGGAGGTGGGGGATGGGCTGTCCCTGGGTAGTAAGGCCATGGGTCTGCTTCCTTAGCAGCAGAATGGGGGTACACTCCATACCCTTTGGTAACAGAAATGGTCCTTTATGTCAACAATTTGATGCTGGCCAATCCACATGTCCTGCTTCCTTAGGACAACAGAGCAGTGCTGTTATCTTGCCGGGGTCACAGGGTGGTTGAACCTTCCTAAAGGACCCTCCTGACCCCATTCCACACCCGCTCTGTCCAGTCGGCTTCCAGAGCACCTTTGCTCTGTGGAGTGCTCAGGGCCACCTGGGTCCCCTGTTTCTGCGCCAGCCCAGGGATCCAGGACAGCCCACACACTGTGGTCCTTGGTAAAGAGGCAGCCTGGGAAACACTAGTGCAAGGGGGGCTTCCTGCAGCCGACCCCACCCCAGCCCAGGAATCTGAGCAGCAGAGACGAGAAAGTGACACAGGTGAAACCAAGGGACAAACTGTGTCCTGCATGGCTGCAGTCTCCAGTCCCCTCCTTTCCCCCTTTTCTTGGGCAGCCCTGTCCCTTCTGCCTTGACAGTGCTCTCCTATTTCTTATCACCCCTTCTCCCGGTCCCAATGGGCCTTTATTGTGCCTATCTTAGGCCCAATGAGGTGAAGCCATGTGACAAGGCCACACAGAGACTTTGGGCTGGGACTGGGGGCGCTGCTGGAAAGGGTTTGAGAGCACAGGATTTGGAGTGAGGCCATCCTGACTCAACAACTAGCTCTGTCACCAACTGGCCCTGTCTCCTTGAGGCCTCGGTTTCCTCATCCGTGAAATGGGGTGAATAATAGGGGCCTTCATCTCATAAATCCATGGTACAGATTAAGTGCAATGCTGACAGAGAGGGCTCCTCATGTGTTTCTGACCAGACCTCCTGGTCACTAGTCCAGGCTGAGACTACTGCGGAAGCCGCCCTCTACCCACTTCCACACAGACACACACACACACTCACACAGACACACACACTCTCACCTGTACAGTGTCTGCTCCTGAAAGGCTCTCAACCTGGAGGTAGAGACCAACCCCCTCCCTCACACACCCCAGCCGATGACCGGCCAAAGTCCTGGTCACCCACAGAGTCCACTCCACACAAGTATTTTCTTGACATTTTGGGGCTTTTACTTCAATTTGAAGCAGATGGTTGAGCACAGACGTGAACAGCTTTGGCCTTTTGAGCACAAGGAAGGAGCGGGCGTTGGCTTTGAACACGCCCACTGTCCCCCCCATACTGGCCCAGTCCCCTGGTCCCTTCCTCCTCTGCCCCTGCACACCCTGTAACAGACAGACCGCCAGCCTCCAAGTGGGGAGCCACCTTGCCCAGCAGGACAGCTCCAGCTAGCCCAGCCCCCACTCCGTCCTCAGGCCACGGGCAGGCTGAACAAGAGAGAAACTCTCTTTCTGTCCATAGCAGGAGCCGCCCATGGTGCTGGCTGCCTGGGATGGGCCCCCATCGGGGTGGTCACAGTGAGGAGAGGCTGGTTGGAGGAGCAGAGACCCATAGGTACCTGCCCTGGGACAAGCCCTGGCGTAGGGGAGCCGGTAATATTGCTTCTCTCCCCACTTACTCCCTTCTGGTGATGCTCAGGGCTCAAGGAGCCTGGACCCAGGGGACACTGGCAACTGGGGCCAGCGGCCTGGGCAGCCAATGAAGGGCAGAGAGCGGGCAGGGATCTCAGGCCCCACTCCCGGCCCTGCTCAGGCACCCCAGCCTCCCTCTCTCAGCCCCCAAGGCTTGTCTTACACTCAGCCAGAGCAAGGCCCTGTGGAGAGAGTGTCCCTGGGGGTCACCAAATGCCCATCCCTTCCAGGAGTTCCTAGCAGAACCGCTGACTCGTCTTTGGCTTGAGATGGGACTCAGGCAACAGGAGGAGCAAAAGTCACAGAGCAACGGTGTGGCTTTTCACTATGGGGCTTCGTCACCCCATTTCCTTCGGTGTCTCTGTCGAATCTTTGGCAATGAGCTTCCGCAGCTGGACAGTGGGCCTTGGGCTCTCAGTGAGTAGGGGGCTGACCTCTCCCCTCCCCACCAGGCAGAGGGCAAGGTGCGAAGCAGCCTCGGAGTGGCTAGGTGGGGGCAGAGGAGAGAGGGGGGCAGGCGTGCTCCAGGTCTACTCTGAGAGGCTGTGGGCAGGGCGTCTGGCGGCATCTTGGAGAACACCACCAGGCTGGACTGTCAAGCTCACCTTGTCCTCAGGCCTGATGGGTAGGAGGGCCCACAGCGGTGGCCTCGGTCTCGCCTGTAGCCAGTCACTCCTGAAAGACATGAGCAGCCATTAGAAAGCTGCCCTTACTCCACCTGGTTCCTATTTCCAGACGCTTGCAGAATGTCCCCTCATTGAATCCTCCTGGCAGGGGCCTCTACCTTGAAGGGTTTGATAAGTGGAAGAGCCAGGATTCAAACCAGGCCTGGCTGCCTCCAGAGCCCACACTCCCGCCTCCTCCTCAGTGCTGCATTTCAGAGCCCCTGTGTTGCGGTTGGTCTGGGGAAAGAAGAGGACCACAGTGGGTATCGGGAGCCGGGCCGCTGGAAGCTCGGGAACACCTGGGACTGACACTACAATCCACAGGGCCACCCTTCTAAGGGGTCTCAGTGTCAGGCCCATCCCCACCCTGGGGTGGTGGGCTCCTCTGTAGGCTCAGCCCCACTGGAATGGCCGTCTGTGGCTTCCTTGCACTGCCCTGGGAGTCACAAGGCCCACTCTAGTGGTAGCACATTCACCTGCCAGCTGGGTGACCCAAGACTAGTCACTTGACTTCACTAGGCGTCAGTGTCCTCAGATGTAAAATGACATGGCTGCAGCAGATCAATGATTTTCAAGCTCCTTTTAAGCAGGAGAATGAAGTACATGAAGTGCTAACACAGAAAACATGGTTCAGTCAATTTGGTGCAGCAGAATCAGCGGACACAGAGGGAGGGGACGCAGAGACCTGTTGCATTCCTCCCAACAGAGAGCCTGGGACATGTGTGAGAATCGGGGTGCTAAGGAGCACAGTTGGAAAACTGCTGGGTTAGACAGTTTAAGTTCCCTGAAACTCTGATCTGTGCAATCCTCATTCCGGCAGCTGAACTTGGTGCTCTGAGCAGAGAGTGTAACTGGCTACCAGGAAGGGCTGGGAGAGGGGGAAAGGTCATGTGGGCTGGGAGTTTTAGTCTCTGGGGAGTTAAGAGCTGGTGGGGAGGCTCTGTGAGACCTCCAGATCCACCCAGAATGAAAAATAACAAAATCCCTGACCCTGGTACAGCACACTCCTCCAAACACCCTTTTGATTCGTGCTCCAACCCTCAACCAACAGCTATTAATAAGTAGTTATTTTTAAAGCAAACATCTGTCAGGCACCTCCGACCTGCCAGGGAGCATTCTCATTCCCCCGTCTCACGAGTGAGCAATCCCAGGCTCCGAGAAGGAAGTGCTAGAAGTTGCCAGCAGCAGGATTTGAATCCAGAGCGGCAGTGTTCATCCTGCCACAGAGGTTGCTTTCGCCGAGACGGAGGCTTGGGGAGCCGGGATGGAGCCAAACCACGACGTTGGAGGGCCTGCTAACCACAGGCCCTGGTGAGCCCTGTGGGCTGGGGCTGCCGGCCAAGACACAAGGCTGGGGCAAGGCTGAAGTGGGGTCCAAGGAGGGCGAGGGAGCCGGGCCAGAGGGAGGGAGTGCTCTCCAGCTAATAGCGGTTCAGGAGGAAGAAAAGGAAAAGTGAGAGGCGGGAGCATCTTGATGTGGTAAATCCCAAGCTCACATTCTCCAAGCCCACTGTGCATGGCTGGCCCCAGCAGGAATCTGCTTTGTGTTACAGAGTCTGAGGAGGAGGATTAAGAAGCGGAAAGGAAACCCGTGGGGATGGCACTGAGTCTGTGGTCCATGGGGTGATTTACAGCCCACGTCATCCCGGAGCGGGCTGCCTGGGCCAGCTCTGCCATGGGCAGAAAAAGTTTTTCTCTGTTCAGTCTGCTCGTGGCCTGAGGAAGGAGCGGAGGCTGGATTGGCTGGAGCCGTCCTCCTGGGCATGCTGTAAAAGCAGTTGGGGCAGCCTGGGGCCAGTCCCAAGCCCTCTATTGGTTATCAGTCCCTGCTGAAGCCATGGCTGCCATCGAAGATTAAAGGAGACAGGGGTTTCTCTCACCAAGGTCTGACCTTCAATTCATGACCCCAGCCTTTTCCTGGTGTCTACACTGGACCACCACTACTTCTGCCAGGAATCCACATACGTCATCCATCCTAGGAAGTCTTATGTTCACAGAGATATAATGGGAAGAACACTGGGAGGCCTCAGGTGCCAGGACTTTCTCTGCAATTAAGCAGCCGTGTGACCTTGGGTAGTTCACTCTCCCACTCTGTGCTTTAATTTCCTCACTTGTACAGTGAGGGGAGAGAGGTAGATTAGCATTGCCCAAAATATGTTCTGTGGAACCCCAGCTATGTGAGGTATTCATGAGTTTGGGAAACACCACATACCTTGGCCCCAGCTTGGAAAGTCACTTATGTATATTAGCACAAAGGCTCTGAAAAGTCCTGCAGTGAAGAAATGTGTGTGGCTTTAATGACCCAGTTTCCCAGCTGACTCTTTTTCTTTTTTTGAAACAGGGTCTCACTTTATCACTTAGGCTGAGTGCAGTGGTGTGATCCCGGCTCACTGCAGCCTTGACCTTCTGGGCTCAAGTGATCTTCCTGCCTCAGCCTCCCAAGGAGCTGGGACTACAGGCATGCACCACCATGCCCAGCTAATTTTTTTATAGAGACAAGGTCTCACTATGTTGCCCAGGCTGATCTTGAACTCCGGGACGTAATCCCCCTGCCTTGGCCTCCCAAAAGTTACAGGCACGAGTCACTGCAGCCAGCCTCCCCAACTGATTTGACCATGTAATTGCTACTGCATGGTGATGGGCAGAAACTCACTTCAACCCTCCAGGAAAGGGAAGGCCATTTAAAGCTACAAAAGGGCATTTCACAGAGACCAGGGGAAAGGTATCAGGAAAGACAGCAAAGGGCAGTCTGTGGCTGCCCTCTAGATGCCTGCTAATAGCAGCCACTTGCAGGTATCTGCCTTCCTCCCTGGGTACTGACTAGCCTGGTCTCCCAGCACGCCAATTCCCAACACCCAGCGGAGGATGCCCATTGGTCCAGCCTAGGTCCGATTCCTTCCCCTGGACCAATCGGCTATGGCTGAGATATACCAATGATACCTCTTCATAAGGGGCTATGTGTGTAGGAGCGTGCATGTGGGGGTGTATAATTGCAAATATGGAGAACAGCAAGCATCCCCACTATGACCACCACACCACAGAACCCCTTTTCATTGGAACGCCTGGCAACATCCTGTGTCCCGTGTGAGGGTCACAGTGCCAGAGCTTACATTCCCCCTAGCTCTGGCCCTTTGTGGTTTTTTGTGTTTCTGCTGCCAGCCAAGGCTGTAGGTCCAGCTTACTCCCTGGCTCACTGTCCTCAGAGCCCCTGCCACCACAGAAGATGTCCTTTAAACAACAGGTTCTGCTGCTAAAATTAACCCTGAGAATGACTAGATGAGATAGTCTCACAGGTCCCTCTTAGCTGGTCCAACATGCTAAGTCAGAGCGAGGTGATTTGGTCAGATGGCCAAGTGGGACCATTCATCACAGGCAGAAAGCATCTTTTTATCTGTTTGCTTGGTGGTGGTCAGAATGTCAGCTCCACAAGGGCAAGGATGTGGCCAGTTTTGTTTGCTGTTGTGGCTCCAATGCCCAGAACAGTGTCTAACACACAGCAGTATCTCAGTAAATATTGGGCCAGGCATGGTGGCTTACACCTATAATTCCAGCACTTTGGAAGGCTGAGGTGGGAAAATCTCTTGAGGTCAGGAGTTCGAGACCAGCCTGGCCAACATGGCAAAACCCCATCTCTACTAAAAATACAAAAATTAGCCTGGTATGGTGGTGCACATTTGTAATCCCAGCTACTTGGGAGGCTGAGGTAGGAGGAGCTCTTGAACTCAGGAGGCAGAGGTTGCAATGAGTTGAGATGCCACTGCACTCCAACCTGGGTGTCAGAGTGAGACTCCGTTTCAAAACGACAACAACAAATAAATACTGGTTGACTCAATCACAGCTACTTCCTGTCACAGGTATTTTACTCACTGTGGCTTTTATGTATTGCAAAATATTTCTCCTGTTTTAAATGTAATATTGAGCATATTTGTAAATATGTCTATCTATACTTTAGGGGAAGTTGTGATAATTGTTATGAAACCCTGGAAAAATTTAGCATCCTTTATGCTTTTGTTCATTTCCACTTTAAAAAAAATTTTCTAATTATACTTCCTGGGCTTACTAAGCTTGTCTCTGGCTCTAAATGCACTGTTCTCCTCTCCTGATCACTTCTGTGCACTGCAGGGTAATTCTCACCACTTTGGAGCATTTAAAAAAACAATTTTATCTGCCTTGTTCACTTTACCTACTTAACCATTTTCCACTATTTCAAATTATACACTTTTTTTTTTTTTGTATTTAAGCAATTTGGATACAGCCTTCTACATGCAGAAGGGGAAAAGCCTCCAACAGGGTTGAATTCTGCCTTTTTTTTAAATTTGTCTTTCCTAAAAAGGGCAGTCAGAGTTCAAATGTTATTTTGAAATTAAAAGGATAGTTTGCCTTTCACTTTTAAGTACACCAGTATGTGGGCTGGAAGGGGGGTTTCATGTTTGCCTCTGAATGCTGCTCTTGATTTTTACTGGGGCTCATCTTGGCCCTAAAGTCAGCTGGGGGTCCCTGAGCAGGATGCTTAAACTCTCCAAGCCTCAGCTTCCTCATTTTTTTTTTTTTTTTTTGAGACAGGGTCTTGCTCTGTTGCCCAGGTTGGAATGCAGTGGTGTAAACAAGGCTCACTGCTCAGGTGATTCTCCCCAATCAGCTTCCTGTATACTGGGGACCACAGGCTCGCGCCACCACACCTGGTTAGTTTTTTTTTATCTTCTATCAACGAAGTCTCATTTTGTTGCCCAGGCTGGTCTCAAACTTTGGGGCTCAAGTGATCCTTCCCGCCTCAGCCTCCTGAAGTGCTAGAATTAGAGATGTGAGCCACCACGCCTGGTCAGTTTCCTCGCCTTTATTTATTTATTTGTTTGTTTATTTATTTATTTATTTATTATCAGAGTCTTGCTCTGTTGCCCAGGCTGGAGTGCAGTGGCGTGATCTTGGCTCACGAGTAACCTTCACCTCCTAGGTTCAAGCGATTCTTGACTCAGCCTCCCAAGTAGCTGGGATTACAAGCATGTGTAATCA